CTTTTCTCCCTATAGACGTCCAGTAAGGGATCCTCGGCCTCCTTTAGTAGTCCAGTATTACTACAGGAGGAAACCTAAACTAAACTAACTTTATTTATACTGGATAGCTCATTCAGTTCTAAACTGTTCTTCCTAGAGGTCCAGTAAGGATCATCTCTTATTGATCCAGTGTTACTACAGGAGGAAACCTAAACTAAACTAACTTTATTTATACGGGATAGCTCATTCAGTTCTAAACTGTTCTTCCTAGAGGTCCAGTAAGGATCATCCTTTATTGACCCAGTTTTACTACAGGAGGAAACCTAAAACTAAACTAACTTTGTTTATACTGGATAGCTCTATCAGTTCTAAACTGTTCTTCCTGGAGGTCCAGTAAGGATCATCCTTTATTGATCCAGTTTTACTACAGGAGGAAACCTAAAACTAAACTAACTTTGTTTATACTGGATAGTTCTATCAGTTCTAAACTGTTCCTCCTAATATAGTAAGGATCATCTCTTATTGGTCCAGTGTTACTACAGAAGGAAACCTAAACTAAACTAACTTTATTTATACTGGACCGTTTTATCAGTTCTAAACTGTTATCCCTAGAGGTCCAGTCACGAGGAAACCTATAAATTAAACTAACTTCATTTATACTAGATAGCTCTATCAGTTCTAAACTGTTCTCCCTATAGTGGTCAAGTGAGGGCCATCTCTCATTGGTCCAGTTTTGCTACAGTAGCAAACCTAAACTAATTTCTAACTTTTTTACTGGATAGCTCTATCAGTTGTAAACTGTGCTTGTCTGATGTTATAAACGTCTTCGTAGGAAATATATCTTGGAGAAATTATTTTTGGTCTGATGTTTTCAAATATCATATAATTTACTTCATTTAAAAATTCCATTTAAAATTGTCATCCGTCGAAATTAAAGTTTACCATCATGTATGACGCTACATTTTCTCTGAAGCCTACACAGGAAATTTTCACTTCTGGATTTTGCTGTCAGGAAGACAGATCTGCTTAGTGCTTACAGTTTTGAATTTTGCAACACTCCCCTTCTTTCAGATGTCCAAAGCGAAGTGATAATTTCTTCACCAAAAACTCCAAAACCACGGTGATATCTAGCAGCTATTGATATTTCCACTTGAAAAAACTCATTAATAATTCATGAGGAAAATACAAAGGAATGAATGTTTAATCAATGTTTGTAAATCGGATAAAGATTTGTCCTGATTTACATAAACTTCAGCTTTGAATTTCTCGGCTTAGACAATGTTTATTTTTAAACTTACTTCGCCAATGAACTTATAAGATTGGTCGTTTTTTAAGCACGTTAAAACATGAGCATCCGATCTTTATCTGATATACAAACTATATCAGAAAAAGATGGGCTGCTGATGTTTTAACTAGTACGTAGTATACTTATCTGTTGCATATTCATTCACTTTCAATTTCCTGTGGTAATGTTCAGGATTAGAAAGTTAGGTTTCTCCATTTTTCAAGAGATCACGTGATCGCAAAAAGCAGGTCCAGATTTATAACTTGTAGTTATAAATAAACATTTTTGATTTTGCCGCCATATTGAATGACTTGAGCTTGTCAGAGAAAATATTTCACAAATATTTTGTGCTTTCTTCTGAAATGTCTGAAATTTACAAACATTTCACTGAAGGGTTCCAATATATCTGTAAACATACACATTTACAGACAAGGAGATTTACAAAAAATGTTCGAGATTTTGCAGAGATTTTGCCAACTTTCTTGAATGAATTGTTTACAAATATCAAATTTTGCTATTTGTAAATTCTCTGGCGACAACGTTTCGAATATAAACAAACTGAGAATCATTATAAAAAGACATAAAAATTATAAAAATATTTTTATCATAATGTTGCCTTTCCGCCTTGCATTAGGCATATTCTATTTTTTAAACACTCACCTTCTTTGGATGTTAAGAACGAAGTAATACTCTCTTCACCAAGACCATAATAATCAGATTCAGCAGCTACAGATATTTCATATGTAGTATCTGGAGTGAGATTATTTATTTCATATTTATTCACTTTTCCTGTGGTAATGTTCAGAATTAGAGAGTTGTCTTTCTTCAGCTCAATCCAAAAGCGTGAAAAACCATATCTTCCATGATTTTCAGGATCTTGCCAAGATATTTCAGCACTTCTAGACGTGATGTTAGTGACGGTGAGGTTTGTTGGTTTGTCTGGCGCGATATCTATAAGAAAAAGTGCAAATACGGCAAGAACACATGATGGACATGATGAAACTGTCACAGCAGTCAAAGGCCGCGGAAGCATCTCGGAAGTGTGTGTGTGTGTGTGTGTGTGGGGGCTGACAAAAAGGGCACTTTCCCATGTAATATAATCACATTCACTCCCCATACTTCTGCATGGGTAGTAGTTTTTATTTAGTTCAAGGTTCTCCTTGGTTTACGCATTGACTATTAGAAGAAATAGGTAGAATAGGGTGTATATTTATTATATCATAACGCATATCAAAATTTCCCAAAAAACCTAATTCGACGTTCATTTTTCTGAATAAGATATACCTGAGATATATCTTGTATAATTAGAACTCCAAAGCAACGTTAACATTTAACTGTATAAATGTCTATATTGAGATCTTGTGTTTCAAAAATTGTTTCGCTTGTATGACTTGGGTAGTGCTTTAATCGCCAGGAAATTAGCACAGTCGAACTGCCTGGCGATAGAAAAAGCTCAAGCTTTTTAACCGGGACATATACGAAGTAATCTATTTTTAGGACGGTTTAACCAACTGTGAAAACCGTATTTCATTGACCACAATGTTGTCAGTTCACTTTGCCTTTTAGGCAGCGATCAAGAATCTTCTTATTACTGTCTTACTCTGATCCGGGTTTTCTTTGGATGGAGAGTGGCGAGGGGCTTTAGCTTTTTATCCATTGCGCACTATTGCCAACACTTCCACAAAATTTTGTATTAAACTTAATAATAGTTTTGAGTTTTCCCACCGACACACACAATGCATGCAGATGAAAATGAACCTCCTGGCAGAGTTAATAAAGTGTGTGAGGGCGAGTCGAGAATTACCAAATAACTACAATTAAGTCCTGTGCATGCAGTAACTTACTTCTACCCCAAATCTCAACTCTCATACATGGTTGGCCTACGTATGTCAATGGAATGAATCGTAATGCTCTTGCGTCAACATGAACATGTCCATAATCGGCCACATAATCGTAAGCATTCCTGTTTCCTTGAATAATCTACAAACAAGAATAATGAGAGATACATCGTGAACAAAGAGAAGTCACAACAATATCCAAGTAAGTGTACATGCTATGACATTATTGTTGTTAGTTAGATAACGTTTCTCACTCCTAAAGTTTTCCAGTTCACCAAATCAATGGTGCAATTCATGTTATACGTCGCCACCCATTTTGGGCTGGTACTGTCACCATATGTTACGAGAAAGTAAAGAAAATACAATCTTCCTAAGTCCACTTGAAGATAATGCGTATCATTCGAGACAGGAGCACACCAAGAACTACCACTAGATATTCTTGCATCAGAAGCACTGTGACCTTCTGAAGAAGCAGAAGTACTAAATGACGAATCAGGAAATCTTCGTTTATCTTCTAACAGTGGTTTATATACACTATAATACCACCAGAAAACACCTAAAATATGAAAATGAAAAGTTAAGCATTCTAGATTTTGATGAACGATCAGGTTGACCCCAATGAGGTTGTTCTTTCATTCTTCCTTTAATTATTTACTTTCTATTTCTTTTTATATTCTTTACTCCTTTCTTTGCCTCTGTATTCTATTCGTTTCATCTTACCACACTTACATCGTATGTATAATAACTCAGAACAACTTTCGCTGGCCGAAGCATTAATTGAACACTGGGATAAGTATTTCTCTCCATAATTACAATTTATACTTCCAGAAAATGTTGCATTTTTGTCATCCGTTGGAGTGGGTATATTAGCCAGGGAGTATACGTATTCGTATCCAAAGTGACGACAAACAGTATATATGGCCCAGTGATTTGAACTTTGCCAACAAACATTCTTGGTCGCACCATCAATGGTAATTTGTACAACACCTTCGTAAGGCAGAGTTGAATGTGATAGAGACACGTCATGAACTACAAAAACACCGCGAAAAGAACAAGGTTATCGATTATTTTGCCATGTAAGGCTATAATAAATATTTCTGATATGTGAGTAACATGCACATGACAAGTGTGTGCAAAATCAAGGTTGAACATTTTTAAACACATGGCAAACTGTCTTGGGCACAACTCTTAAGAGAAGTCGATTGAAACTATAAATTGTGACCATCAAGTTACCACAAAGTTCTTTGAAAGGTTTCACAGTATCAACACATTGATATTCAAAGTAAAGATAGTTTGACAATCCAGGACATAGATCACCAGAGAACAAATTGTCATCCACAGTTATATTACACTCATGTAGACCATCACATTGTTTCTTAACAAGACATGTTACATCAACTTCATAACTATAATCATCACTTAAACCACATGTCTTTGGTGCAAGCAATCCACGATAAGTTGCAAACTTGACCACCATGTATTGATCTTTAGGACAGTTGGCATTCTTCACTTTATCACCATGACATGTCACTGAACCTTTAATAGAACAGACGTTTCTATTTTATAATATTTTTGACAAAAGTTATCTTTATCTCTTTAAGTGCTGTCAAGGACATAATAGTTGACCTGGACATAATATCTGACAATCTAACCGTAAAATCTGCACTTATGTCGCTATTATGCACCTTATTAGCCTATATAGCCTTTATGTAACCAGTCAAATTCGGGCTGGAAATCGGGCTGGAGCTCGCGTTCGTTCCATATATAGGTGTCCTATATCTATCGGATTGGGAAAATTGGAAAATTCCCACTACTGATTGCTATTCTCAAAAGCATGGGCATACGAGAAGGAAAAATTTAGGGGGGGGGGGCGGAAAAAAATTTGCCCGACTTTTTCGGATTGTGCCCGAGTCGTCAAAAAAAATTTTCCGGAGAAACTTTCAAAAATTCATGTTAGATAGCATATTTCCCACAAAATTGACAGAATTTGTCCCATTTATTTTTATAATAAGCCAATATTGCTCGACTGTGAAGCGAATATTGCCCGACTGGCTTTGTTTGCCCAACAAACTGGGGGGACTGCCACCCCCCTCGCCTCCCCCCCCCCGCCCGGTACGCCCATGCTCAAAAGACTATAGAATAGAATAGAAATCTTTATTTACCCACGTAAAAACTCATTCACAAAAGTGCTCTTCCAGAGTGACGTGCATTAACTATATATACATAAATAAAGTTACAAAACTAATGACATGAAAAATTAATATAAAACTATAATATAATATCATACTGTATAGGCTATACGTTATTGGAGAGTTACACACTAAATTTTAGCGACCTCTTAAATTCTGTTAGCGAATTAGCCAAGCGAACATGTCTTGGAAGAGAATTCCAGATTACAGCTCCGCTGTATGAAAAACTCTTTTTGAGAAGATTATTCTTTGGTTTTGGAGGTAAAAGATTTAATTTAAATCAGAGTTTCGCAAATCATTATCATGTACTTGATTGGTTTCGCGAAACAAATCTTTTAAATACTCAGGAGCCAAGTTGTTAAGCACTTTGTACATCATGATAGCTTTTTTAGTTCTTCGCTCATGAGCAAGTGCACGCCACCTAAGTTCAACAAGTAATTCACTAGATGAAGCGTCATACGCGCTCTTTGTGATGATTCTGGCTGCCCTGTTTTGCAATTTTTGCAATTTTTGGGATAGGCCATCAGACAGAGTGTCCCAAACTCCGCTACAATAGTTTAGTCGTTGTTCAACTAAGCTATGGTAAGTTTATAGTAACAGATTTTGTCTGGACATGAAAGAGCTATGAAATACATATAGTACACATCAACACCCTACCCGATTATACCATTGTAAAGCAAGCGTTTCTTCTTTCTAAGGACTTGTTTCTAGACAACAAACCAAGTTTCTACTCCAATGTAATGCACTTAATTAATTAAAAATTATGCAAGTTCCACAGACGAACTCAATGACTTAGAACTCACAACAAACTCACAAACTCACAGACTTCTTTTTCTTACGGTTATTTTTCGGATTATCTGCGGTTAATTTGCGGAAACCGAACCGAACTGGAAGCCTGGTAGGCCTATTACGTCGTAGACATTCGTTAATTTCCGATAGTGTACGCTTGTCTTGTGTTCTGTTTTATCAGTACCCCGGGCATTCACTTGAAATCATCGACTCGAGCCAAATGAACAGATTGAATGAAAAAAAAAAATATAGCATTGTTTCACTTTTATTTAATATAAAACTCCAGGCAACGTCTTCAGACCGGCATTAGAAAATATTTAACAAAAACTTACCGAAAATGAATTTCTGATCAGAATAGATGGAATGACATCGTGTCGACAATTCCATGTAGTAGACAATCCCATAATTTCTATAAAGTTGTGAATTATATCTATACCATGCACACCAGGTTTGAAATGAACTCTTATCTTTCCCTTTATAATAAACAGATAATCCTCCCTCGGGAGTCTGGGTTATAGCACGATAGATGCTCTCGTTAGGCTTCTGAGCACAAGCAGCTGTGTCTAAACTGACTGAGTCAACGTAAAGATAAAACATATCAAGATCATAACCAGAACCACTCTTATTAAAAGCAGCGAGACATCCCTGTCTTTTTAGATTCAACATGGCACCATTATCACGAAACCGAAACTGAGCAGCTGGATCCAGACAGCTGTTGTAGGAATATGCCAGAAAAGACAAGTTTCCCCAACTGCCGTTTGACTGTATTTGACCTGTGTCCTTGATACAATATCTTGAGGTAGAACCATAGTAATAGTTGGAAAACTGTTTCACAAAGAAACCAGCTGTACCTGAAAAACAATGCAAAAATAAAATTATTGGTCTCTTACTGTATTCTCTGTCCTTTTTTTTTATACAATGCGCCGTAAAGACCGAATTTTCCGCTCGGAGCGGAATTTTTCTGTCTTGTTATTTCTCGGATGGAATTAGAAAAGACAAAAAAAAATCCACTCCGCGCGGAAAATTCCACCTAGTGGAGAACGGCGTTATTAGATAGCTTAAGATCTACGACGTCGACGTCAGCTAGGACGTCAGGGCTATGCAGAGGACTGGGACTAGGATGTCGTCCTAATGTAGTCCCAGTTCTCTGCTTAGCCCTGACGTCCTAGCTAACGTCGACGTAGCCTGCGAACAGGCTCTCAAGCTGAATTGAGAGCCTGCATCGATAACTAATGAATTTGAATATCTGCCCCGTAACGTTCGTTTTTCCAAATATGGAATGTCTATCCTTATATGGTGTTGTTTACAACTTTCGTGCAAACTAAATTTAGTCTGTGCAAACTAAATTTAGACCGTACAGTTTATACTGTTTTTCGAAATATAAGATATTCAAGCAAAAGTTCAAATGTTTTAAATACTGTTTTCTCAAAACAGAACATTTCGTGCTTTGAGATAAGACGGCCAAGACCAATATGATCAGTTAATGTGTTTTTTTATGCATAGTGCTTCGCAGTTGACATATATAGAGCTCAGCGGAAACATATAAATTATAGCATCTGGCCAATGAGAATTTCGCGTCACGATTTGAGACGCAGATATTCAAATTCATTAGTCATCGACGCAGGCTCTCA